GCTTTCAAATGTCAAATATTTTTTTCTTATTTCTGTAATTGTGTCAATTAAAGTCTATTGTCCACTAACCACAGATGGAACTTTATTCATTTATTTGACTCAGTTTTGTTCAACCGCCCTTCTTAGATATCAGAAACACAAGGCATGCATTGTTTCTAATGACTCAGCCAACTCAATTCACATTGTGAGAAAGAGCAGTAAAGCACAACCATTGTGAAACATTGCAAAAGAGAAGCAATGACCAAGTATGGCTGCCCTTACATGTACAGTATATTAGTTTTTTTTACAACATTGAAGTGCAATTAAAACCTAACATTTAAATATGAAATAGTGCTGCTGACCTTGGCACTTACCTTGTCTGCTCTTCTTTCAAAGGCTGCATTTTCTTCTAATAGCCTGCCCGAGCTTTGTGCTTTTTAAGAGGGTACCTTGCTTTGCTGGGTCCGATGGAGCCCCACCATAACCCTCCTTTTGTGCACACTCACAGAAGAGTGGACTACATGCTGCCGACATGCACAGGCAGCCCGAGAGGACTAAATGGGTCACACATGCGTGATGGTGCAAGGAATGATGGGGCATGCAGTTCTACGGAGAGAGATCAGGTGACCTAAGATGGAAGTTTGGGGAAGCGGCACAGAGAAAGCTGGAGGCTGCAACTGCAAAAACGTCTTTGTGGACAAAAATGTATTGCCCAATGCTAAATTGTTTAAGAACAATGAGGGGAATTAGTGGGAACTAGAGCAGACAGAATCTGGAGCAGTTGGCTATGGCAACCAATCACCTTCTCTCTTCAGTTTGTTTAGCTTTGAAAATTAAAAGATAGAAGCTGGTTGGTTGCGATGGGCAAATGCTCCGGTTTTCATACATTCCCCTTAATGTATTTAATATTACAAAAACCCAAAGGCTTCAGTACTACTTTAAACACACATTGATTCAATTACATTAAGTTGACCCCTTTTGCATGTACAGTATATTTGAAAGATTAATGAAATCATATGTGAAACGTCATCATTGTTAAAGTTACAAAAGAAAATGAATTGCTGCTTATGTAGTAAAGTGGAATCAGTGGAGACTCAAGATTATTTGTGCTTTTGTCTGCAGTTTCTATAGCATACTTCATGTTTGCGACACATGAAAAAGGGTGGTGTGTACATAATCACACATACTTAAAAGCACTTCAAGGTACAGGAAGCTACTTTTTGGCATAAAGTGACACATTCAATTAAGAACTCCACTCCCCAGAACATCTAGGGAAGATGAAATGTAGTATTAGTGTCTGATTATGAAAAACCTGTAAATCAAGGCGGAGGTCATTCTTGCATTTTGAAAGCTTTTCTTTTTCTAAATGTTAAAAATCACAGCAGTTGACATTCTTACAGAGGATCACTTGCTTAGTATAGTCAGAGTTTGCAAAGCAGAACAATTCTCCCGATTATACATACTTTTTGAAGGTACTGAAACCTGGCACTGGATAATTTCATAACATGGAAGAAGTGATTCCATACCCCACAAACTACCTCAAAGCAGAGCTGAGGAAGCCTTGCCCAGCTTAGCAAGACTTTAGGCCTCGTTCAGATCATCCTCTGCGCTCCGGCCTGATTGCGGCCGGCTCAGTTTGGCGGAGCAGAAGGGGGCGTGGCGGCCTATTGAAGTGAATGGCTCCGTGGCCACACCCTCCGGCCACAATGCGATCGGCCGCACAGGCATGCAAGGCACATCAATGCCTGCGGTCCGGTACGGATTGAAAAAATTGTGCTTGCAGTATTTTTTCGGATTGGACCCTCCGCCCCCCAAAACAAACTGAGCCAGCTGTAAAGCGTTCCAGTGCGTTCCGGCCACAATCGTGCCAGAACGAACTGAGGATGATGTGAACGAGGCCTTAGAACTTTCACATTTTGCAGTAAAATAAAGACATCTAAGATTCGCTTCATTCCAAAATTGAAATTCAGACGAATATAGGCATATTCGGACATTCAGATGCATCCGAATTTCCAAATGACATAACGAAAATACGGATGCATCCGAACATTTTTACGAATGAACTTCATTCATACCATATATTTTAGGTCTGTTAAGAATTTTAGGGGGTACCCCCCAAATCCCTTGCCATAGGACAAGGGCTCTTCCCCACAACCCTGACCCAGTGGTTGTGGGGGTCTGCAGACAGGGGAGCTTATAGGAATCTGGGTGACCGGCTTTTTTGCTGGCTTACACGTCTAGTAAAATCATCAGATTTTGACCTAAACTTACTGGGGGGAGATTCAATATAGCATTTGCAAAACTTTACTGCCCCCCAACATTGATAATTCCTAGGATGCTGGCAGCCCAATGATGCACAATATCATTGGTTGCTAGGATGCCATTGGCCCCGAGCATCCTAGAAACTGGCAGCTCGGCCTCACAGCATCCTTGGGACCTGTGCACAAGACAGGCTTTGAGACATTTGCATGTACATGTTTCGTATAAGTACATGCATTTAATGACATTTGTCGTGTGCGTGTGTCTGTGCCACTCTTTATGAATTTCAGGTACCGACTTTATGATCATCTGTTCACTATCTGAATATGCATGCAACATCAGAGTATCATTATAGCATGGAGTGGAAGACCATTGGAGCTCAAAGGCACCATTTTGAAAGTTGTGATACCTCTTCTTGTATTTACTCAGTGGCCCTGAAGCCATGTCATCATCCTACCTCAAGAACGCCTCTTTAGAAACCATAAAAGGTGAGTATTTACCCCTTTGCCAAATGCTGCAGTGCAGCAGGCACTAGTAAAATGTTCTAGCATTGTGAATAGAGGCACATAAAGATGTTCAAACATTGGTCGAGAGAAACACTTATCTAAAAGTGCGAGAGCACCTTCAGCCCCCATTCACACTTGAGGTGATTTTAACTCTTTCGCTGCGACCGATGTATCTCATATGTTTCTGGCAGCGCCCATTTAAACAGACTCTGTTTACATGTGTGAAGCCAACTGTTGGCTTTACAGTGGAGGCGATTCTGGCAGCTCAGCTGCAGCCAGATCACTTCCAGGGACCAGTGCAGTAGACTGGCATCTCAGGTGTCGGCGGGAAGCAGGGAAGGAGACCGACGAACATCCGTTCACTGATCTCCTCCCCGCTGTATAGGATCAGAAGCGACACTGATCACATCACATCCAGTCCCTCAGCTGTCATTGCTCGGCTGCAGAAGGCGAGTAATAAGCTATGGGAGCACGATCTGCTCTCCAATAGTTTATTTGGAGTGGAAAGGTGAAATTAGGACACAGTTTCTAAACGCAACTCCAGTCTTAGTTTTCATACTTTCCTATGTGGATATATGGCTTGAAAATCCACTATTTTTCTGTCTTAAGAAGTAAAATATATGACCAAAGTCCTCCCCACATGCAATTAGCTTCAAATGTCTGCTCCTGTGTCGAATTCAATGAACTAATGCAATTCAGTTGACATACACAAAAAACATACACAGAAGCTCCACCCCAGTCTAGCGTTAAAATGCTTCGCAAGAAGCCATCTTCATTTGTGTATTTTTTTTTTACTTTGCTCTCGCTTTGCCAATATTCTGAAATTTCCCTCAGTAATGGATTCCAGCATTGATGACACAACTACTTATTTGGTTTAAATACTTGCAAAGGTAAAAGCAGCCCGGTGTATAAAAGGCCAAGCATTCCCTCTACAATTAGTAGATGCTACCCTGGTTTTTTTTTTTTTTCTACCTGCACCACATATATAAAAGATATTCCCAGCTCAACATTTGTTCTTTCACATTAAGCTGGATGGACAGTCATTTCTGCTCACACATGTAACACAATGGAGGCAAGATAGAATTAAGAGATGAAAGTTTACTATCGCTTTGAGGTAGGGACCCTGCGCTAACCCAAAAGTTGGCTATTATGACAAAGGTGACGTTATTTGCAATAAATAATATTTTCCTTGCATTTTGGAGCGCTGGTGACCTATCTCATCTCTAAGGCTGGGTTCACACCTGAGCGTGTTTTTTCAGCTAGTTTTTTTCCGTTCAGTGAAACGCGCATTTCACTGGCGGTATGCTTTTTTTTCCCCTTAAATTTTCTCTATTTACATTTTTTTTTTTAAAGTTTCACTTTTAAACTTCCCGCCGGCTCCGCCCCCCTGCGACGCGGTCGCTCGCAAGGGATGGAACCCGGAAGTCGGAAGACGCCAGAGGGCACAGCGGGGATCGCGGACAAAGTAAGACCTGTACGCTGTATTCCCGAGTGTGGCTCGGGTTTACCGCTTTGTTAACCCCGATCCACACTCGGGAATACCAATGGAAACGCGTGGCAAAACGCCCCAAAGAAGCTCCTGTACTTCTTTGGGCGTAGGGCGTTTTGCAGCGCATTCCTACACTCTGTAAAACGCCCAGGTGGGAACCATGCCCATAGGCAATCATTGGTTTTCACATGTTGAGCACTTTACAGTGCGTGGGAACGCGCTGTAAAACGCCCAGGTGTGAACCATGCCTAAAGTTAACTATCTGACATTACAACATTACCTGTTCCCTGGACAAAATTGGACAAATAATTAGTTTAATACAGTGCCAAATGTAAATAAACACAAGTTACCATTTCATCAATTTCCCATTACAAACCTGTTTTTTTTTTTTTGGTCATAGACAGTGTAATCATCCATGTTAAAGTGAATTCAGCAGACATGTTACTGTGGATGTGTATTAAGTTAGTAATACTGGGTATACAGTGGTCACTCTTGTTAGGACTAAAGCTCACCACACGTTACAATCTAATTGTACAATTACATGTAGATTTACCAACAACTATGTAGTGCAAGAGCCTGCCTGACTGGATAGATTAAGTAAGTTCTCATACTGCATAATTTGGGTAAATCTAAAGTTGATTGTACCTTATATGGTGAACCAAAAAATGTATAGCACAAACGACAGGTAAGTGTTCATGTCAAATCACCTACTATTAAACCATTCCTGAAAATCTAAAATGGCAGGTTGGAGAGGTTCTTCTTTCCCCTTAGAATACAGTAATCAGAGCACAAAGACAACCATGGAACATGTTACTTCGAAGAGACACTTTGGACTTTGTAAACAGTACTTGTAAAACAAACATGGCACTGATGTATAGCAGCCCATCTGTAACTCATCAGAATACATATGCTATAAATTTCATTTTTCATTTTTACAGTTCCCTTATGGACAGTGGTTGTGTCTTTCACTCATGCCGAATACGTTCCAGTGCTACATAAAAGTTGCTCTTCTCCTCTAGGCTGTGCCAACCGATAGGTCCCACTTCACAGTCCGCACATACCAAGAACTTTACACTTCCCACGTCTTTCGTGAATCCCACATTCTCAAAGGTAAACATGTCATGTACCAACCAGTGCTCAACAAGCAGCTCACAATCAGGATTGGAATCTTCAGCCAAGGAGGATTTCTTCTTCATTGAGGGCAGAAGCAGCTACATAGGTAACAAAAAAAGAAGAGCAGGATTACACAGGGGTGTGGAATTTTTATTTAAAAAACTACTTGTCCAGGGTCTAAAGCGGGGCCCAATTTACTTGTCCCTCGTTACAGTCTACTGGTCCTGATACAAAAAAATTAATTTTAACCAAACTACGCACAGGCTAAATTACCAGGGTCGCAGCAGTCACATTTGCGACCGAGCTCTGGTGTTTGGCTAGTTTCGGGCGTGTCGTTTTTTTTGTACATTTAGCTCTGCTCCCGACAAGCAGAGCTAAATGTACAGTGAGAGCCGCCGCTTGTTTAATACAAGTGATCAGATCACTTGTATCAAATCGAGCAGCAGCGGCGATCGTGTCCGGGCCCCCCGCCGTGGTTTTCGGGGTCCCCCGCTCCTCTGGGGGATCGGTGACCACGGCATAGGAGCTCACCATAGAGCCCCTAGAGCAGACGTAGAACGTCCGTTCTTCGTCTGCTCTGTGTGATCGAGACCGTGGCCCTGTAATCACAGCGCCACCTGTCTCAGCTGTTACTAAGTACAGCTGCCACAGAACCCTCCCCGAGTCCTATGGTCAGGTGCGCCTTATGGAGCGCAAAATACGATACATACTCTTTATTTAATAGAAGGAAAAAAAGGTATCAAAATCAAGTTTTTTTTGGTGAAAATTAGAGTTCAATACTACTTTAAAATACAAATAAATAACATAGTCACACTTACATTGTATTTGGTTCTCTAGTGCATGTTGATATCAGCCGGTTCCTTCTAGCACAAGAACTGCTTTTATTACCCAACTACCAGTACATTCCTCAGCTGCAGTGGCTCCTAATTCCAGCAACATCTCTAAGGAGCCAACACAGAGAGCATACTCTGTACCTACGAACTACACATCTACGTCCAGCCACTCTGTACCCCCACAAGCACTGGCGGCACAGAGATGCAGGAGATGAGCGGAGCATGTTATCTGCACACCTGCTACTGATTGACCCAAGTCAGTCCTGCATGCGCAATACCAAAGTTAGGGGGAGGGATGGCACCCGGAAGAGAGAGCTACATTAATCTTGAATATTTGTAAATTTTGGGGGTTCTTTTTTAAACATAAAATCAATCTAATTGTTGTTAAAGGTATTATATGCTTTTAGAAGCATACATGCGAGTTAAAGAAGAAGTCCAGGGAAATGTTTTATTAAAAGGAGAACTATGAGGCGAGTGCTTTTCACTCACCTCATAGTTCTAGCCGACCTGTGACAATGAGACTGTCATCAACATTGGCAACAAACTATTTGAGATTAACTCCATTACAAAGACTAGAGGCCACCACCTAAAGTTGGTGGAGAAAAAATTCCAGCACAATGGGCGAAGAGGGTTCTTTACAGTAAGAGCGGTTAATTTCAGCCAAGAGTGTAGATTTGTTCAAGAAACGTTTGAACAATTTCTTGAGGGACCGTAATATCCAGGGATACCAGTCTCCTTAAGAATGAGATGATGCGTGGACCTATATGGGTTGGACTTGATGGACGTATATCTTTATTCAACCCCAAATACTATGCAACTATGTAATTGTAGCCCCACTGCAAGGATTAATTTTAAAAAAATGTCCCTGGAGTTCTGCTTTGAGGGCCCAGTCACACCATATCCAATGTGTTGCGGTGCGGTTTGAACCCAGAACGCATAGATCAAGCCGGGCAGTGTTCTGGGGCATGTCGGTGGCATTCATGTCCCAGACACGATCGCATCGGAATGCGAGATACAGGAATGCCTTCGGTTCCAGTGCGATCGGAGTGCATGCAGCATTTTTTCCAATCGCAGTGTACCGGAAAGGAGGGCATTTCTGTACCTCGCATTCCGGTGCAAGTGATCCCACTGTGGGCGTGTCTGTGGTGCCATTGATATGGGGCGTGTCTGTGCCATTCATAACGCTGCCTGGCTTGATCTATGCGATCCAGGTTCGAACCGCACTGGATATGATGTGACTGGGCCCTAGTGATTTAACCATCACCACCAGAATCACAGAAAAGTAACATGAGAAGCTTCTAAATTGTTACACAAGCATTCAGCTTTCCAATGAACTCTATTACTAGTTTCTACACCTACACAAGTTTTTGGAGAGTCTGAAATGTTCCCAAACCTCTGCTATGAACACCCCATGAGCAAGACCTTCTGGGGGCATTCCATCTCTTAACGACTGACCTTGTCTCGATAGACTCCTGTATGAAGCACTCTGAAGATAACTTCTCCTGATAATAGTGGGACTGATGATGTTTGTATCAGAGACCACCCTTTGTACAATCTTTAGGCAGCTCTACTTTCTGACTTAAAACTGAACTCTAGGAATGATCGAATGATCTTTTATACTTACTTTCATTGGTCCAGCTTGGCTTCATGTAAGTATTCATATCTTATATCCAAAGAGCCACTTGGGATGCTGAAACCTTATAAGCCGGAGCTACATACAGTGATCTCCCGGGTGTGCTTCCAGCAGCTTCCCTTCTGCATACTGAGTCCATCGCTGGGCACTGCCACTGTTTTATAGAAATGGCCAACTGGTCGAGATGTCCAACCCGTCAGTGGGCCTGTGCGGCAACCTAAAGCACACATGGGAGTTGGAGAACTCTACGGGGATTGCAACGCTACGCAGGCTCAACGACAGGAATTAGAGCAATCAACAAGGATTCTGAAACTGCCACGGCTGGTGCACTAGCACCATCGCGTCAAAATCTCCGCCGCACATTATGTAACAAGGTGGAGACGAGTTGGCCATTTCAACAGAACACCCTTCAGAGCATGTATTGCCTTGTATTTTTTACAAGTACAAGGTGTTCTCTGATTGAACAAATTGGAGAGGAGGAGCGAATGATGTCATGATCTTCACCTCGTCCAATCAGAGAACGTCTTGCATTCTTTGAAAAAATAGAAGGTGCTCTCTGAATGGTGGCAGTGCTGGGTAACTCTCTGTACAGCTGGGAAGCCACTGGAACCACACCTGGAAGATCACAGCTTTTAATGTATGTAGCGCCAAGCACCCACAGCAGCCCTCCGGAGATCAGATATTGATACATACATTGAACCAACCAGGACCAATGCAAGTATCCATAAAAGATCCTTTCTGGAGTTCAGCTGTGAATAACACCAATATCTAATGTTCAATGGTTCCTATAAACAATCAGCCCTGGTACGGCCATACTGGCACTTCACAAGTGTTGCCCTCGTACAACCAGGGGTGTAGCTCCATCTCTAGTAGGTGGAGAGAGCCGATAGAACAGGGCAGACTCATGACCGAAAGCACACGTTGTACATCAATAGTCCCAGCGGCCTCTGACCTCTCTCTTCGCTAGGGTAGCCATTCCCGCCGACAAGACCCGGCAGCCGCACCGCTGACACAGCACAGCCCGAGAATTCTTCCCGTCCGCGGAAACCAAAGACTCGTCCATTCTAGTTCACAGCAAAAGAAGGTGTTCTATCACTTCCCTGGACCCGTGAGATTCCTGGACTTCCGTGGGCGTGTAAAGAGCTCGGTCGTTCGCGCAAGCGCACTGCGGCTCCCAGAGCGGACCAATCTCACGGACTAACGCGCAAGCTCACTGCAGATCAGCGGCTTCAAAGCCAGAAATCTCACGGACTACCACGCATGCGTGGGCCTAGAAAGCCTACAGC